GGGGGGGTAAGAAAGCTTTTAGGCTGAGAGTTGGGTCTTGAAACATTGGGACGCTGACATGGAAGTCTATAGAGTTAGGTAAGATTCTTCAAAAGAGGAAGATCAACATTGCGTGTGTTCAGGAGACTAGATGAAAGGGTACTAGGGCACGAGATGTAGACGGGTTTAAACTATGGTACTCAGGAAGCACTGGGGGTAAGAATGTGGTAGGTATTTTAGTAGACAGGGACCTCAGGGAGCTCGAGGTCGAGGTTAGGAGGGTAAATGATAGGTTGATGAGTATTAAGCTGGTAGTTGGTGGGTTTACTGTAAACGTGATTAGTGCATACGCTCCTCAGGTAGGTTTGAACCAGGAGGTCAAGAAGCAATTTTGGAGGATTTGGACAAGATGGTGCGTAGTATCCCGCACATAGAGAAGTTGTTCATTGGCAGAGATTTCAATGGCCATATTGGGGCAAGTGCTAGGGGTTATGATGATGTGCATGGCGGGTTCAATTTTGGGGATAGGAATGAGGGAGGTAATTCACTGTTGGATTTTGCTAGAGCTTTTGATTTGGTTATAGCTAACTCGAGTTTTCCGAAGAGGGAAGAGCACCTGGTCACTTTCCGGAATTCAATGTGCAAGACTCAAATTGATTATCTTCTCTGCAGGAAATGCGATAAAGGTCTGTGCACTGACTGCAAGGTCATCCCAAGTGAGCACCTCACGACCCTACATAGGCTCATAGTTATGGACCTGGAGATTAAGAGGAGTAGGAGGAAGAGGGCGGGGTACAGGCAACCTAAGATCAAGTGGGGTAACTTGACCAAGGACAAAGCTTAGGAGTTAGGGGAGAAGTTGTTGGCTATGAGGGCCTGGACGAGTAGGAGGGACGCATCTAGTATGCGGTCCACGACTGCGAATTGCATTAAGGTAGCTGCTAGAGAGGTCTTAGGGGTCTCGAAGGGCTCTCCTGGGGGTCATAAAGGGGACTGGTGGTGGAATGGAGAGGTTCAAGGTAAAGTGGAAGCTAAGAAAGCTGCTTATTTGAAGCTAGTGAAGAGTACAAAGAAAGAGGCGAAGTTAGCAGTTACGATGGCTAAGAACGCGGCATTTGCTCATTTGTATGATGAGCTCGGGGGTAGAGGTGAGGACAAGAAGTTGTACCGGTTGGCCAAGGTGAGGGAGAGGAAAACCCGTGACTTAGACCAAGTCAAGTGCATCAAGAACGAGGATGGCAAAGTGTTGATGGACGAGGCACTTATTAGGAGAATATGGCAGGCATACTTTCATAAATTATTGAATAAGGAAGTGGATAGAAGCATTGTGCTGGGTGAGTTGGAGCACTCTGAGAGTCGGCAGGATTTTGGGTACTGTAGGCAGATTACGGTAGATGAGGTGGAAGGGGCGATGTGTAAGATGTGCAGGGACAGAGCGACGACGCCAGATGAAATCCCGGTGGAATTCTGGAAGAGCGCGGGTCGGGCAGGTTTGGAGTGGCTCACTGGGCTGTTTAATGTTATTTTTAAGACGAAGAAGATGCCCGAATAATGGAAGTGGAGTACGATGGTTACACTTTACAAGAACAAGGGTGATATCCAAAATTGCAACAATTATAGGGGTATCAAGTTGTTGAGTCATACTATGAAGGTTTGGGAGAGGGTGGTTGAGGCCAGGGTGAGGAGTTGCGTGTCTATTTCCAAGAATCAGTTTGGATTCATACCGGGGCATTCCACTACAGAAGAGATTCATCTGGTAAGGAGATTAGTGGAGCAGTAGAGGGAGAGGAAGACGAATTTGCATATGGTGTTTATTGACCTTGAGAAAGCGTATGATAAAGTCCCGAGGGAGGTACTGT